AATGATGCATTGATACCTTTAACTAATGATCATAAGAACTACATTTGCTCCGTAGATTCATTCGAAACTAAAGATTTTTTTCAAAGTCTCTTTTAGATAGATCCATATACAGGGTGTCCATAAAGTGTCTGCGCAAAATTTTATCTTTATTTGTATTTGCGATAGAAATAATTTGGAAAAAGGATTAGAAAGAAATAAATCTATATTTTTTAAGTTGAATTTTTTCTTTAAGTTTCTATATGTCCTCCATCATTAACAATACAACTGGTAATACGATTTTGCAGTTCACGGAAAAAATTTGCCAACTGATTTACAGTAATACCTGAAATCACATTAGTTATTTTAGCTATACTTAAAACTAGGTATATTAAACTTTATAAAATTTTTTACAGATTATTTCTATCGCAAATGCAAATAAAGTTATAAATTTTATAAAGTGCACACGAAATTTACGGACAACCTGTATTAAACATGACAGAGTAATTATACCGTAATCGACTGATAATAAAAGTTAAATTTTCTCTACATTTAGATCCACAACTTAAGCCATTTCAACTTCGTTATTTTAGGAAATCCATATATTAATGTTTACAGAGACATTCATACACTTAGTCAATGTTAAGAACAGTTACATTCTCTCTCTCTGTATATATATATATATATATATATATATATATATATATATATATATATATATATATATATATATATATATATTAAGAAATGGACAAAGTCCGACAATTTATTTTATTAAAGACATTTTATGTTTAACGTTCTTTTTTTTTTTTATAGATACAAGTATTTAAGTAAATGCTCTGTTTATAATAAACAGTAGTAAATAACATTTACCGGCCTGAATGTCCGAGGAATTTTCATAGAAAATATTCGTCCTTTGACAGGATTCGAACCTGCATCCTTAAGGCACGTCAGCGTAAATGACGGTTCTGTATAGGATGCAGGTTCGAATCCTGTCAAAGGACGAATATTTTCTATGAAAATTTTTCGGATATTCAGGCCATACTTGTATCTATAAAAAAAAAAGAAAAAAAAAAGAACGTAAAACATAAAAATGTCTTTAATATATATATATATATATATATATATATTCGCAATTGAATTTTTCATATAGTTTTATCCATTAAATCCCATTATGAAATATGTCAGAGGCATTCATTAGTTTAGACATTTACATTTTCTCTCGAGCTGCATTCGAAGATTTTTTTAAAATAGTTTCTCTTTGATAAATCTATCTTTTAATGTTGACAGAGACATTCTTACCTTTCGCCAATTATCAGGAATCTTACATTTTCTTTCATGTTATATTCGCAATTGAAGTCTTTTCAAATATTTTCTTTTAAATAAATCCGTATTGAAAATGACAGATGCATTTTTACCTTTAGCCAATGATCATAACTGTTTCATTTTTTTCTCGTGTTGCAATCGCAATTGAAGCTTTTTTTTCAAATAGTTTCTGTTAGATAAATTCGTATATTAATGAAGACAGATGCATTAGTCAAGGATCGTAAACGTTACATTTTTCCCTAGGGTCATTCGAAACTTACGTTTTCCAAATAGTTTCTTTTAGTGAAATCCATATATTAAAAATGACAGAGACATTTGTACCTTTAGCCAAGGATCATTACATTTTCTCTCGATTAACATTTTTATCTGAAGTCTTCTCAAATTTTTTCTTATAGAGAAATTCATATATTAAAAATGACAGAGACATTTGTACCTTTAATCAAGGATCATAACATTTTCTGTTAACAGAAGCATTCATAAACGTTGGCAATGATAACAACAGTTACATTTTTTCTCTTGTTACATTCGCAACGGAGGTTTTTGCCAAATAATTTCATTTGTTAAATACATATACTAAATATGACAACCAAAAGTGCGTCACACTGATCGTAGATCAATCAGATATCCTTAAACCTTTCTTTAACCCATCTGACTATCATCTGTTCTCCAACATGAAAAGAAAAATGACTGGGAACGTGTATCGCAGTGATGATGTCATATCTACTATGGATATCATTTTGACCGACAAGATGAATGGGATCCAAGCATTGCAACTTGAATAGAAAATGCGTATGTTCCGCAAAGGGGACTATGTTGAAAAATAAACCTCATTTCCTCCTATTCCATAAGAGTATCTTGTTTAGCCTATGTATTTTTAAGCCAACCTTCGTACTTATACAACTGGAATTTTAAAATAAATATCAATAAATATACTATTGTATATATTTTAATGTAAAATACATTGATCCGGTTGCATAAGAAAACATCTCAACTGCAATGAATTCATTGTTAATATTTCTAATTAAACAAAGAGTATGAAACCCACATGTCATATTTTTATCATAGAAATATAAAAAAGCATTCATATATATTTCCAAGTCCACCATTTGCCCATGCTTCGAATAGTGCTGTCACATCTGGTCTGTTTCTCTTCTTATATATATATATATATATATATATATATATATATATATATATATATATATATATATATATATATATAGATTCTTGATAAAATTTGAAGAATTATCTGATCTGGCATTTCGGATTCGTTCACATTTCCACCGGGCGTAATGTAGCTTCCCTATGATGTTTTTTATAAATAATTTGATTTTAATTGTTCTGATAAAAAAAATCCTCTGTGGTACCTAGACTCTAATAAATTTAAGCGCATTACTAGATTGGCGGGGAGGTCTCTTTCACAGTTCAAATGTCTAGATGTAACAGGAAGTTCTATGCTGACTGTTTCTTCTGTCGCATTCGGATTTTTAGAAATCTTTTCTGGTTTCTTGCTTTCCAGTCAAGTTGTATCTTCAAAAATTTAAATGCAATGTAAATTGTTATTTCTGTCTTATTATTTCCCGTTCATTTATTATTCTAAATACATAATAATTTTTTGCCTTTTCTTATATTCTTTCAAACTCAATCTTATTGGTTTATTAACTGGTTTTGGGTGAAATGATAAATGAATTGTATAGACTGTAAATATGTTATTTTAATGCCAGTATTATTTTCAAATAGTACCGAATTGCTATATAATATTAGTTCTCTTCTGTTGCAGTGAATGCTGGAAAAGCTTTTTACACACAAGCAGAATAATTGAGGCAAAAGAAATCTAATTCTATCGAATGACGCAGAGAACAACATGGACGGAGCTTGTAAGCAAGGAATGATTCTTGAGGTAAATGGAGACAAAATGCATACTTATACTTAGAATCAGAAAAAGACAGCTGCCATTTCTACAGCACATAATAAGGTAAGAGGTTTTTTGGAAATTTTAGACTATCGACGGCAAAATGCTCAGAGGGAAACATGCTACCTACCTGATAAAGATGGGTGGTATGACAAAAGACAAAGATTACCATGTGTTACAATTTTAGGAAGTTGTGGAGGGCCATAAGCGTCAAGGTGTTGAAGGGACAAGATAAAAGATGATTGTGAAAATGCTATATTTATATATATAAATGTGTGTGTGTTTGTGTGTATGTGTGTGTATAAATTAAAAATAAAACTTTCAATGATGATAACTAATAGAATTTTACACTTTTATACTCAGAAAAGAAAGCACTTATACAAATACAAAAAAAATAAAGAAATGAATGAAAACATTTATCGCAGGAGTTTGTCAGTCATTTTATTGAAACTTGTATGAAAGCTGGATCGTTACTCTAATAGAGGATAAGATGATAAGCTACATCCCTCAGCAAGGCCTCTGATCAGGAGGTTTTGAGGAGCGTGGGACCACCTCTTAATTGCTGGTGTTCCACCCTGACTCGGAGTGGTAGCACCTTTTAGGCTCCCAGCTATGGACACATAGTTAACCCCCAAACTGGGGTCAAAACGTGTAAAAATAGGTTTTAATACCAGGAAAACATTTTTGCAAAAAATTATTAGCAGCGACAGATTTTTCAAGAAAAAATTATTACTAGCAATATCTTATTACGAGCAAAAAATAATTTTTGAAAAAAAAATATTACCAGTGCTAAAAATTTTGTCAGCATTAAATAACACATTAAGCCGTAAACCAAACCAAAACAAACCAGACCAAACCAAATATATAATATATATATATATATATATATATATATATATATATATATATATATATATATATATATATATATTTTAAGACATTTTATGTTTACATTCTTTTTTATATACAAATATTTAAGGAAATGTCTGTTTATAATAAACAGTATTAACAACATTTACCGGCCTGAATGTCCCAGAAATTGTCATAGAATATATGCGTCCTCTATCAATTTCTATGACAATTTCTCGGACATTCAAGCCGATAAATTTTGTTCATATTGTTTATTATAAACAGAGCATTTATGTAAATATTTGTATTTATATATATATATATATATATATATATATATATATATAAAACCTTTCGTGCTAGTGGCACTTCTGGCTTGCTTGGTATGAATGTTTTTTTTTGTTTTTTTTTTAAACAAAAAACGATACGTTCTTTGACCTTTCTCACTGTATAAAATTCTTCGGCGAATTATTTGTACTATCCTCATTAAGTTTTCTTAATTATATTTTAACTTTTTTGACAATAATCGTTTTATGATATTTTTATACGCGTTATTGGCATTATGCCACAAAATTATTCAGATTAATATCCTGATCATTAGTAATTTGATTTATATATTTCGGGTAACATATTTTTGTATTCCTCAAATTATAAATTACCGTGATTAACATCCTTCTTGTAGGTGACCCGCAAAATTGTTTAAATTTCTCATTACCTTTCGACCGAAACGTAAATTGCTCTTCGCCGGGTATATAGTACTTTCGACTGGAACTGATTCTAACTTTCTGTATATCACGGTCATGGTATGCAACCTCGATCTTCTTTTATTGTAAATATTTTTTCATTTGTATTTAGGGTGTATGGAAGAGCGAGTGAGAGATAATGGCAGAATAAAGGAAAGAACATGAGACAGAAAGATAAAAAGTAACAGTGAGTGTCAAAAAATAGAAAGATAGAATAAAAGCGGGGAATTATAAAGAGATAGAGAAAAGCGAGAGTAAGAGAAAGAAACAGAGAGATGGAAATAGGCAAAGTAACATAGAGAGTGATTACAGGGAAGAAACAGATAGAGAAAAGAGAGATAAAAAGAAAGAAACAGAGAGAGGGAAAGGAACTCATTGAGAGGGAGAGAAAGCGAGGAAGATACACACACAGTAGAAACGTGGAAAATAAACAAGGGGAGAGTGAGAGACTTGGGAAGAAACATAGAGAATGAAACAGAGAGAAAGAAGTAAATAAACGTAAAGGGAGAGAAAGTGAAAGAAACAGAGAGAGGGATATGAGCAAAGAAACTGACAGTGATTATAGGGAAGGAACCGATGGAGAGAGAAATAAAAGAACGGATAGAGAGGGTGGGGAAGACAAACACACAGATCAGAAGAGAGGAAAAGAAACAAAGCGGGTTTGAGAGAGATGGGAAGAAACAGAGAGAAAGAAGTAAATAAACAGAAAGAAGGGGAGAGAGAGATTAGAGAGATAACACCGAGATGGATAGAACGAATTAAAAAAGAAAAACAATTAGAAAGGGAAAAGAGAAAGTGTAAGATATACATAGAAAGCGACATTGGATTATGATCAATAAGATGTGGGAAATTTATGCATTTCTCTATCGAAAAAAAAGATATCAGCAGAGAATTCTTGCGACTAAAAGAGTAAAATGCAATAGAAAACAAGAAAGTTTAAGAGGCCGTAGAAAAACGATGGCTTTTCAGAGAAAGGGACAGATCAATAGACAAACATAGATAGGCTAAAACAGTAGTCTGTAGGTGTAAATGTCTTAGTCAATGCGAGGATAGATGTGTAGGGAAAAAGGAAAAAAAACAAATAGCACTTTGCATTTTCCACCAAAAGTAACATGTATATGAATAGCATTAAGTCGAATATGAATATACGCACGCGCGGGAATTTATTTTCTGACGTTTTTCTTTACGCATGCGTACTGCGTCATGTTGCTTATTCTATTTTATCTGTGACGCGAGGAAGCTTGATTTTTCCATTACCTTTCTTATTTTACTCATCTTCTAAATGTTTATATTTTTCTGTGAACATATATCTGTGTGTATACATGTATATGCATCCAGCTATAGAATCTAAAATGTTGGTTACGCAAAACATGCAAAAGAATGTCGAAAAGTTTTCAAATATTGTGTAGAATTTTTTTCACAGAACACTTCAGTGGGGAAAATTGGAAAGATATTTACTATATCTATGCTAACAACGTACAGCATTACGGATAAAGCCAATAATGCCCTTTTTCCTGAATTGTTGATGTGTGTATTTGTAAAAAAACAAAACGTAATAATAAAATAAATCTCTTTTGGGGAAAACCACAATATAAATATTCAGACCTATTAAAAATGACCGTTTGTTTGTGTGTCCAATGCCATACAGACACTAGAATTATTGAATGAATTATGTTGCTATGTGATACACATCGAGCTCATCGGCTAGGTGTACGAAAGACATTTTGGAATTTTGCTAAATATTTACTGAAGAGAAAAATACATGCTATAGGAAAACGTATCTAACGCCAATATTTATTACAAACAACGGTCCCTGTACGATTACCGAAGTTAAGCAATGTTTAGCTTGGTTAGTACCTAGATGGGTGATCGCTAAGGAATACCAGGTGTTGTAACGTTGGATGTGCGGGTAGTTTAATGGATAATGCCTCGGAACTGTTAATCGGAGAGCCGAGTACCAGCTGTGTTCGTTATATTCACTTGCACGCAAATATTCCTGGGAAAGGTAGGAATACACCTCTTCTCCCCAGCTATGGGTTAATTAGCAATTCTTGCATAACTAAAACCATTATCATTGCAAGAAAAAAATAATTGTAAACAAAATATTTATATTTCGACATTAAATAACGCATAGAGGTGTCGATATTCCGGTAAACAATAAAAATCAACAATATGTAACATTTTCTCATTAGATTTACTGGTGGAGATTTTACATGTATTTTAGCATCCCAATATGACATTTATATACTTCCAATATGGTAATGGTATTCGTTTCGCTATAAGCAGGCATTCTGCATTTATTGACCGATCAGCCGGTACTAATATCGGTTGTAATTTATAGAATCTTTCTTTTAAAATAATTATTCAGGAAAATAGCTTTCTCAGTTCCAATAATTGTTATCGCCCTTTCCAGTACTGATGGAGAATTTCCTTTCTAACATTTTATTTGAAGATGTGTTGAATGCCAACATATTGATTATGTTCTTATTTTCTTTTTGAGTTACATGTGATATCCTTTTTAGCGTTTCATACTGTTGGATATCATCAAGTGGTGTTGTTTCTGTTATTTGGTACAGTTCTTTGTAGTGCCAGTCCACAAGGTTCGATAAAATGTGGTCTTCACCATGACACACAGGACTCACTCGCTCGAAGCAATTGATCAAGGAAAGCGGTTGTATATAGCTGAAAGTTTAGATATTTAGGGAGGGGTTTGGCATCATGCATGACATCCATATCTAAGCATCGATCTGACGTCGTTATTTAATTGTATGATTCCGAGTTTTGAAGTTAATATTTTGGCGAAAACTACCTTTAGTGTCGCCTATTCATTGCTTGGCTTCCTTATCCTCCATACTAAATTTGCTATAATTGATCAATACACCAAGATATTTTTTTTGCTTTGAATATACGCTCTTTTAGCGCTAGAGGGCGTCGTCAGTGATGTTCTAGAAAAGGATCATTGGGCAGTTTCGGGTCTTTCAAACATCACACTGACCTCACCAAATCGACCCCCCTCAGAGCTGATCAGACTCTGAAACGCCCTCTGAAAAATGCTTGTAGACACTGACTTCTATAAATATACCCCGTTATCACACATTTGATTGGAGATTGACCAACAGCCAATCATAACGGTGCGAAATCTATTTAAGCTGTTTACGGGTGATTTTTTTTTTCTTTTTTTCATTTTTCAGTGGACACCCCTTCATCGGATACTTAGAAGGTAATTATGTTTTCCGTTTTTACCCACTTCCTATCAAGTTTCATTTCACCAGCTAATAATTACTATTTACAAAGATTAAAAAAAAAAATACGGCCATTAAAATTAATAAATAAATTACAGCGAATTAAGACGAGCGTGCTTATAAATATAATGAAACTCTTAAAACTGTTTACGAATAAAAATAAAATAAAATAAAATAAATAAATTACAGCGAGATAAAAACCGAGAGATCTTATAAATAACATAATAGAACATTTAAAACATGTTGACGAATAAAAAAATAAAATAAAATAAGTAAACAATTAATAATTTACAGCGAGTTAAACCGGGAGGGCTTAAAAATATCATAATAAAACGTTTAAAACATATTGACGAATAAAAAAAAAACTAATAATCTCGTTTATGCGATTAAAATGAATAAATAAATACAACGAATTAAAGTGAATTTGAAGTGTTTAGTACTTAGTAATTCCACATTCTGAAATTTTATGATAGATTCAAGGTATTGCCGTCATTGCTTTTATTCCAGTTCTAGACCATAGTTTGTTTTGAAAGCTTTAAGCCCTATTTCTTGGAACATTTAGAGAAAGGATGATGATTTTCTATTCAAATTCATTCTTATCCCAACTATGAATAACTATAAGGGTTTAGCTTCCTTCATCAGTACATTGGCCGGGGAGGGAAAGCAGGATCGTTGTCTTCTATTAAAGGATTAGTTTGGGAAGTAGTATACAATACTTAAAGGATCAGCGTTCATCTCTTCAGAGCTGTATCTGGATCTGAGCACGGGATAGTCTAGGAAAACTAATAAATATGTAAATCTGATACTTAAACAGAAACACTTGTAATGATGGGATAGGTGCCTCCTTACAAGGGAATCGGCAATCATTAATCAAACAGCTAATGTTATTGGTGGTCGAAATTTATAATGACGTTTTATTAAAAACAATTTCTCACTTAATGAGAGTTCTCAAGTCCAATGTTATCACACTTTCTATTACGGATGTGATGCTTCTCAAACAGTATTTTTTTCTTAATACTCTTTACTGATCTGATTTTGCTTAAACTTTTTCTTTAATGTAGTGTGAAATACCAAGATATTTGTTATATCATTATTTTCCCCTTCTAGTTAAACGTGTTTTTTGTTGTGGGAAGTTTTCAAGTGATGTGTTTTTGTTGTTTGATAAACGTCTCTGTGATTCTGTAGCGATAGTCTTTAGGATCTTATGATGGTTTTCTTTGAGAACGAAAGGATTCATTCTTTTGAAACCATTTTGTTCGTTGGACTTTGAAAGCAGTTATATAACAGATAATACTTCAGATATGTCAAAACTATATGATAGCCTAGATCTGACCAGGCTACTTATTCACTGATTCATTTTTTACAGATTATCAATCATTTCTATGTTATTGAACGCCAGAAATATTTCTGGAATGTAATTCTTTTTTTTAAGGAATAACGGTTTAGTGATATGAGTGGATTCATACTTTTCCAAAGAGTATTTGTGTGTAAGTGAATAAAACAAGCCCAAATAGAATTGGAACTCGGCTCTCCAATTAACAAATTCGAGCCATTATTCATTACAACAACCACACCCAAGATTACAACACCTGGTATTTCCAAACGGTCACCCATGTAGGTAATGGCGATGCTCAGCATTGCTTAACTTAGTTTGGTGATAGTACAAGAATCGTGTTTCAACGTGATACAACCGTAAGCCCTTTCCACCACCAGCATATCTAGTTTTATAGAACCTGGTAATCCCAAACCGTTACTCGTCTAAGTACTGACCAGGTTCGACATTGCTTAACTTCGGTGATAGTACGAGAAACGTTGTTTCAACGTGGTACAACCGCAAGCCCTTTATACCATCGTCACATCCAGGCTTATAGAAACTGGTATTCTCAAGGCATCACCCATCTGGGTGCTTACCAGGTTCGACGTTGCTTAACTTCAATGATAGTACGAGAAATGGCGTTTGAACATGATGCGGCCGTAAACCGACGTGGATATTTAAACACCATGTTTCGTTTTCTCGAGTTAATATTTAGTACTTGTAACATCCCCAAGGTAACCCTAGTATAATGTATCCTATGTTCAATTTCCTTGTTTTTTCGGGTTAATATTTAGTACTTGTAGAAGCCACAAGTTAACACTAGTATAATGTATCCTATGATCTATTTCCTTGTTGTCATGTCTAAATTTTGTTATAACTGACATGTAAAAAGTTTAAAAGTTTAGTATTTATTAATTCCACAACCTGAACTTTTCATAATGGATTCATTTCACATTTGAGAGAAACCACTTTATCTACATCTTGAGATAAATTAGAATTATACAATAGTTTATTCATGCAACAAACAGGATATATATATATATATATATATATATATATATATATATATATATATATATATATATATATATATATAATAGGAAGGAAAGAAAGGTCTTATTTGTGGGCTGATATGTTCGTCCTTGGCATCAATGTTTTTATTTTCGAAAAAAAATTCGGTTTTACCTTCCTATTATATATCATATTAAAATATCTTCAGGTCCATGTGCGGTGATATCTCGTTGGGTTAACAATAGTCGTCATAT